CAGACACTCATATGGTTTCTCCCCATTGTGAGTGTTTTTGTGTATCAACAGGTTGGTGTGCATGCTAAATCTTTTGTCAGATGAGGAGCACTGGTAGTTTCTCTTCAGTATGGGTCCTTCCACAAGTCACGAGAGACCTGTTCTGAGTAAAGCTTCTGCTGAACTTCAAACATCTATATGGCTGTTCACAGGGTAGATCAGCTTATGCATCAATCAAATGTGATCTGCCATCTTTGTTTTTTCCAAAAAAGGCAGCCTGTGGGTTTTTTGGAGATACTTGAGGAGGCGAAAAATATTTCTGATCTCCTGCCTGGTGGTTGTTTCATTCAAGCCATTCAAGCATTCACCAAAGGCTTTAATTATTTGCTGCCAGTTTTGGCTATGCATGGAACATTTTTCTTCGCATTGACTTCCAGTTATTCCTCACTTTTCCTTTAAAAATTAACCTTGGTTTCTCATTAAATGTCTTTTTCAGTTCCATATGTTATATCTTTTCCAGCGCAAAACTTCTTGTTATTCTTTCTGTCGTCTGTCATCTGTTGAGGAAGAGTTTTAAAAATTTCCAGAGGAATTGGAAAATATTTTGATTGTTTATTTTGCTGCTTCTCGTTCTCTGTTGTCCAGCGTGCTCTTCTTGGCATCCTCTCTCTCTCTGTAAGATTAATATAAATGGATTAGTTTCATTATTGTTGAAAAATGACTGCAGGACATGTGAAACAAGGGTGGGATTCAATTGGTTGTCACTGATTCACCCGAACTATTAGTTAATTGCTTATGCAGTTGTGCGAACTGGCTGAAAATAAAGTGCGAGAGCTTTTTTTCCCCTCTCTCTCCTTTCAGTTAATAGCTCCAGGCAGACAGCAAGAACCACTTAACAGTTGCAGCTGGAATGAAGCCAACACATGCTGAATCAAGTCAATAAACAACAGAAACTAACAGGATTACGGCAGGAAAACCGATTAATCATCCATCTAGGGATGGGATTAACCTCTTCCCTTCAGGAAGAAGGACAAGATTACAAACACTTTCATTATAGAGCATTAAGTAACAGTTCTGTGATCAGCTGATACTCCCTGGAGTTCCCCAAGACCTTTTATAGCTGCTGCAGTGTTGGCTACTTCTTGTTTCTTCCTGGGGGAAAAGATACAGGAGGGGACAATGATGCTGCTTGATGATACAGGCTGTGAATTTAATGCATGTGTGGTCCAGCCAGCTGTATTGCTTCTGCTGTAAAGCACCCAATTTAGAACATAGAATAATAGAGTTGGAAGGGTTAATGGCTTTTGTCAGCACGCCCAGGCTTTCAATTAGCATGAGCTGCTGCTCTTAGTTTCCCTCTCAGCTGCTGCATTTGCTTTAGGATTGACTTTTAAAAAAAAAGGGGAATGACTGTTTTAAGTTTTCTGTATTGTTTTAGTGGTCCCTGGCACTGTCCTTTTGGGGTGTACTTCCCTCACTCTTTTTGGAAGCCTCTACTGATGGAGCACCCACAACTTCTGAAGGCAACCTATTTCAGTGATGGCTAACCTTGTCATCGCGCGCCAAATGTGTGCATGCACGCATAATGCAATACACTTGCTCCCCGCTCCCCCTGTGCATGCGTGCAGGATCCCACTGCACGTGTGTGCGGGACCCCCTGTGCTTCACCTCCTGCTCATGCACAGCAGATACCTAAAAATCAGCTGGCTGGCAGGAGTCATCCACACATGTGCAGTGCATCTGTGCTGGAGCAATGACCTGCATGCCTGCAGAGATGGCTCTGTATGTCACTTCTGGTACAGATGCCATAGGTTTGCCATCACAGACCTATTTCATTGGTTGACTAGTCTCACCCTTATGAAATTTCTCCTTAGTTGCTTCTCTTTTTGGTTAGTTTCCATCCATTGTTTCCTCTTGTGCCTTTTGGTGCTTTAGAAACTAGATTGACTCCCTCATTTTTGTAGGAGCCACTCAAGTTTCCGGACAGAATTAATCAATCAGTGGAACAACTTGCATCCAGAAGTTGTAAATGCTCCAACATTGGAAGTTTTTAAGAAGAGATTGGATAATAATTTGTCTGAAGTGGTGTAGGGTTTATTGCCACAGCAGGAGGTGGGATTAGAAGACCTCCAAAGTCCTTTCCAATTCTGTTATTCTATTCTAAATATTGGAACAGTGCTATTTTATTGTGAATTGGACTAAGAAGAAATTTCCTAAGGGTGAAACCAATCAAGTTGGCCATGCCCACCCAGTCATTAGGGCAGAGAACCAGTTGTTAAAATTATTTGAATCCCACCAGTGATGTGAAAGCAGGAAAAAAAAATTCCCATCTCATATATTAGCATGAAAACACAAAGACTACAATTCTATTTTAGTGTTTAATATTAACGATGATTTATTTGGCAGACAGAAGCCTAACAAGATCCAAGTTTAAATATTGATGCAAGATCTCTTTTTCAATCAACCAGTCAAGCAGAATAGAGTTGAAAGGGACCTTGGAGATCTTCTAGTCCCAGCTCCCTCCTCAAGCAGATGTATGGTGTAATATTAGAGGGTAATTTTTTGGCTTGGGTAAATACACTCATGTATTCACACATATGAGCATCGAAATACACACACCTATGAATTCATTCAGACAATCTATGCGTATCCAGTGTGCAAAATGTCCCAAAGTGCATTCGCTCCAATTCTTTTGATCTTAGTTCAGAAAGGGGAGGGGACGCTAATAGAGGAAACGGTGCCCAACTCCTAGTCGGGACACAAAGCATCCTCCGCTTTGCCCATGAAGCTCCTCGCTTGCCAGGAAAACCCCAGGTCAGCCACGTCACAAGGAATCAAGAAGGACGTGGAAGCTGGTGCTTAAAATGCGGGTTTAAGAAATACGAAATAAATTGTGTTTTTTTTTTAAAGCTCCCAGCAGAAAATTACAGGGAGCAATTTTAAATCATGCAGCAAAAGGATAATAAAATCCGGGGAGGGGAAGAATATGCAGCAGCAGCAGCCGAAATGTTTCATTCTTGTCCCTTCGCTGCTTCATGCACCGTGGAGGAAGCCAAAGGGCCGGACTTGCTCCCGACTTCTCCTCCGACCTGCCCTTCACTCACCTCCCAGGAGCCGCTTCGACCCTCCAAGCAGCACAAGAGGCTCCGCCGACGCCACCAGCCTCCCGTGGCTGAGCCGGAAGAGGAAGTTCCCCTGCCCTGAGCCTCCTCTCCTTTACAACCTCTCTAGCAATCCACTACTCTATCCTTTCAACCCGTTAGATCTCAATCCTCTGTACCTGCCTTGGTTCCAGCCACTTTTTCCTCGTGCGGGATAACTCCTGAAAACCCGCCTCTGCAAAGCAGCGAACCTTTTAAAACTGTCGCTTGTCTCTTCTGAAATTTTATTTTCTCTTACTTCCCAGTTTATCTACCACGCCTGGTATTTCTTATTGGTGCCCCATCCCTGCTTAGCAACGGATATTCCAGGGTCAATTGGTGTTGCAACCTGACAACCACCCCTATTTCTTTTACAAGCTCAGGAGAGGTCTGGAAGAGTAATTCCCCTCCCTTCTGGACAGTTAGCATCCAAGCAGGCTTTATACCTTCAACAGCAATTTGCTATGCGTAAAAAAATCACGAGAGGTTTTCCTGGCACCGCAGTTCAAGGCATTGCTGCAGATTAAGGTCTTTTGTTAAGTGCAGATGAAGAGGGCAATGAAAGGTTGGCAGTTTTAGGGTGGTTCTACTTCTACCTCTATACCCTGTTTCAGTCCGTGTGGGTGGAAGAGAGGCCGAGTATGGGCCCTTGAAATATGGGGTGCCCCGGGGCTCAAGCCGTTCGCTGATACTTTTAAAAATCTATATCAAACCGCTAGGGGAGGTCATCCATCCTACGATATCCAATTATGTAGAGGTAGTAATCCTGGACGTAATTCAAATTTCAATCAGGATTCAAGTTGAAATATTGACTCAATCATAAACTTCTTTTTAGGCTTGGAAAGATCACACATATATGCACACGTATGCCCATATAAATACACACGTAAGAATTTATGTATGTAGAAAATGAATGTCTTTCAGTGAGCAAAGTATCCCACGAGGGCACTCTCTCAATTTTTTATATCTAATTTTAGAAAGGTGGAGACAATAACAAATGAAATGGTGCCCGTGATACTTTTCACTTGCCAATAAACACGCCAATAAAATCACAAGGAATGAAGTGTTACGTGAAGAGTGAGGGAAATGGGCAAATATGAAATAATAGCAGGGTACCCGTGTTTCACTACAAAACTATGTGATTCGGCAAATTTTGAGGGGAGGAAAACAAGGGAAAAAAGTTGTGCCAGCATCCATCAGGATTCATCTGGCTAGCGTCCTGTCATTGTGTGAGAGAGTTGAAGTCTGAAGTCTGGTTGGAAACTGAAACAGAATTTGCTGTGTGAGCAAGGAGAAGGCAGCAAGGAGCCTGGGCGTGGCTTAGCTCAACTGCAATTGGAACAGTTTTCTTTTTAGGTGGGGAGGGGTAGTAGAACTCCTTAGCATCAGAGGGTGTTAATAATAATATAGGAAATACTAATGCTCTGATGGTCATTTTGAAAAAGCCTTTCTTAGCAAGCACCTAGAAGCCAAGAGGGAGATATGTGGCAAATTTCAAGTTTGTAGGCTTTACAGTTCTGGAGATTTTCTGATGATACTTGAGTGGTATTTCACTTATATCTATATCTATATCTGTATCTATATACATATATAGACTGCTCAAAAAAATAAAGAGAACACAAAAATAAGACATCCTAGATCTGAATGAAATATTCTCATTAAATACTTTGTTCATTACATAGTTGAATGTGCTGACAACAAAAGCACACAAAAATTATCAATGGAAATCAAATTTAGCAACCCATGGAGGTCGGGATTTGGAGTTACACTCAAAATTAAAGTGGAAAAAAACACTATAGGCTCATCCAACTTTGATGTAATGTCCTTAAAGCAAGTTAAAATGAGGCTCAGTAGTGTGTGGCCTCCACGTGCCTGTATGACCTCCCTACAATGCCTGGGCATGCTCCTGATGAGGTGACCGATGCTCTCCTGAGGGATCTCCACCCACACCTGGACTAAAGCATCCCCGAACTCCTGGACAGTCTGTGGTGCAACGTGGCGTTGGTGGATGGAGCGAGACATGATGTCCCAGATGTGCTCAATTGGATTCAGGTCTGGGGAACGGGCGGACCAGTCCATAGCATCAATGCCTTCGTCTTGCAGGAACTGCTGACACACTCCAGCCACATGAGGTCTAGCATTGTCTTGCATTAGGAGGAACCCAGGACCAACCGCACCAGCATATGGTCTCACAGGGGGTCTGAGGATCTCATCTTGGTACCTAATGGCAGTCAGGCTACCTCTGGCGAGCACATGGAGGGCTGTACGGCTCCCTAAAGAAATGCCACCCCACACCACTACTGACCCACTTCCAAACTGAAAATACCAGAACAAAACGGAATACCATACATGTAAGTACCCGCGAAAACTTAAGAAAACATATATATATATATATAAATCTCAAATTCAGAATACAGCTGGAAGGGTGCTTATAGGTCTTGTAGTTGAACCCCCTGCTCAAGCAAAGGCTCCAAAGGAACCAGCTTCACTCCTGGCCAGGGCTGTCTAGGATTTTAAGTTGCCAATTCCCATGTGCTTCTGTAATTTCCTTAGCATGGAAAGACATATACCCAACAGGGCCTAGAAAAAGAGCACTTGGAAAGGGGCTGTCTATATTTGGTAAACAAATCTAACATGCTTTTCAAAGAAATGTTTGAAAGCACTGTAAAATGAATGGCAGACACAAAAAAGTTTCCTCTTGACACTCATTTTTAAATTAGAAATGTAATATTCAAAACACATAAAAACAATAGAATGTAAGCCACAAACAAGAAATTGGAAAAAATACCTCAACGAGGACTTCCCTCCTTTTTTCTATCAAATAATTCTTATACGCATTCTTGTTCGGGAATTGTGTCCCCTCAGCTAACCAGAAGAAAACCCTTCTTAAAAAGGGATTCTGGCCTGAAGTCCACTCCTGAGAGAAATCCAAGCCAACATTTCCCTTCCACATTTCTCACATCTGGGTGTGACAGGGAAAGTCTATGGCATTTCACCAGGCTCAAGGCTGACTCAGTCTTCCATCCTTCCAAGTTTGGAAGAAATGTTTGAAAGCATTGTAAAAAGAATGATCGTATGTCTGTGCATGCAAAAATGTTTCTGCTTGACACTTATTTTTAAATTAGCCCTTTAATATTCAAAACACATACAAACAATAGAATGTAAGCCACAAACAAGAAACTAGGAAAAATACCTCATTGTCATGCCTTCCCTCCTTTTTTCTATCAAGTAATTCTTATACACATTCCTGGCTTGAAGTCCATTCCTGAGAGAAATCCAAGCCAGCATCTTCCTTCCACATTGCTAATATCTGAGTGGAACAGGGAAAGTCTAC